CTCCTTCCTGCCTTCCTTCCTTCCTTCCTTTACTTTCACACATCCAGTCAGAAAATGAACAAAGACTTCTTTCTTTCTTTCTTTCCCTCCTTCCTGCCTTCCTTCCTTCCTTCCTTTACTTTCACACATCCAGTCAGAAAATGAACAAAGACTTGTCAGAACGAAGCTGAATTATATATATATATTCCTGTTTGTTTGTAGCGATTTGTTGCTGCTGAAGTGTGGCAGCTGGTCGAAGAAGATAGATGTGGCGAAGCCTTCCAACGGAGATGAAATCAGTGTCAGTCTCATCAGCTCAGATTATGGTAATCCATGGAAATCCCTTTAAACTGTGCAACAGAACTATATGAATGAAAGCACAAATATTTTGTGGTTCACATAAATTACAGGTGTACGCAATAATGCTGTGTTCATTAAAAGGCTCCTAACTATTGCCTCACATGTTGTTAAGATAACTKTCTGTCACTTTTCAGTTTCTCCTAAAGCTTTAATTTGTTATATTTACATAGCTTYGAAAATGAAAACTGTGCTTTTAAAATTAAATTTACAAATAAARGGCCAATAAAATTATTCTTTCACAACATCTCTGGTTAGTTTTGTTGCATTGAAAGACATAATTTGGAAGTTGTTGGCCTTTTCCTGTTTCTGGTGTTTTGTTCTGTGTAGTGGGGCTGGACGTCCATCAGCAGATCAGCGTGTTCTACCCAGGTGCCCGGAGGTTTGGAAGTGAAACTCRGTGCAGTCTGACAGGTCCTGAAGAGAGACCGCCACACTCTGCTGGGAAACCTCTGTCCACAACTCAGAGAGAAAGCCTCTCATCTGCAACTCAACAAGGCAACGTTAAACACTTTATCACTGCAGTTTTGTAATTTCACCAAGTTTAAATGTTGTGTGAATGCTCATTTCCTGTTTTTRAAATCTATTTTTACAGATTTTGTGCTATTTTAGCTGTTTGTGTATCTACTCATACTTTATCTAATACCCTTTTAACTATTTAACATTATTTACAAGTAGTTTCTCTTTAGCCATACTGTACACTGAGTTCATAAACTTTTTACAATCTGCTACAGGGCTCTATACTCCTTTTCACCACTTTTATCTACTCTTCTACTCGTTTTCTCTTTTATCTAGCTTTCTACTTCTTTTAGCTTCTTTTTCTTTTAATAAATCCTTTGTTATTTTTAGAATCTAGACAGTCATATGGTACTTTTAGCTTACGGCTAACCTTTCAATATGTTTAGCAAAGCTAGTGTTTTGCCATTTTTAATTTCTAACTTTCTAACTTTTAATAATTTTACCGTCTAACTAGCTGTCTGCTACATTTAGCTTCTAGGTAGCCTTTCCTTAGTTTTAGCTTTGAGCTATCATTTTGCTATTTTTAGCTTTTAACTAGTAATTTGCTACTATCTAACATGTGCAATATCACAATCATCACCTATTCTTATATCATTTAATGATACCTTATGGGACCTTTGCATCAGTCGTACTGTTTTTAGCTTCAGAGTAGATCACTGTTGTTATTTCTATATAGATGCTAAAGAATGCTCATTGTTCTCTGTGTTCATCTGGTTTTCCAGAGTTTTTATACTTATTTCTTCCCTGTGTGCTCTAATATTCTTCCTTTATACTTTYTCTCTAATGCWTACTTMAACAGTTGCAGCTGTAATAATTGCACTTTCATCCGGGGATCATTAAAGTATTCTGACATCTAGCTTTTTGACACAATTAACTAGTCATTGAACACTTTAATCRAACTTTTTGCTATTTTTACCTTCAAGCTAGCCTTTTGACACTTTTGATGCTTGTATCATTTAGCTAGCATTCTGCTACTTTTAGCTGAAGCTTTGATTTTTTTTTTTTGGTTTCAACATTTCAGTTTTTCAGCACTTTAGCTCATATTGTCAGAAATCATATTTTGTTTGTTTTTGTCCTCAGATTCAGGCAGTAAAAGACAATGCAACCATTTCTGCAAGAATAAGAGTTGTTGCGCTCATGAGTGTTGTGAGTTTAAAAGAAAGATTTTTCACAGGATTTTATTTTGTAAGTGTATGTTCAGAGTTCAGCTTTGTTCTCATGTGCTTCCATCACCTCTGAAGGTAAAGTAGGTGTAGCAGTGGGCTGGAAGAGATCAGCCAATCAGGAAACCAGTTTCTCTTCCTACCTGAAAGACCTGAAGAACAGAAATGATGCTTTTGAACAGACACCTGTCAAACGACTCAAGGTGAGCAGGAACAGTTCTGCTCTTGTGTTGTTTTATTTTAGCAGATGAATCAGATGAAGTCTTTGTTTCTGCCTTCAACAAGCCAAACGTTCATTTAAAATAGATTTCTGAAGGTCTTACAGTTTGTTTTAAACATTTAGTTTAATCATTTTACACAGTCCAGTACTTGTACTGAACCATTTGTTTTTAAAACTTTTTGTTGAATATTTGACCTGACCTGTGAGCTGTTTAAACATAAGAAGGTGGCTAAACCTGCTGGATAAATCAATGTTGTTTACAGAGAATTTTGAACACTGTTATTGACTTCCTGTTGCCCTTCATCCCTGTTCAGTCTGAGCAGCTCTAAGGAAAAGTGAGAATTAGTAAAGAAAAATATAAAATTAACTAAATTAACTAAAAGCAAAACACAACAATAATATAGCTAAAAAATAAAAATAGCAAAACAATAGCTAAAATGGGCAGAATAATAGATATACACCAAAATTATCAATACAGTAACTGAAAGCTAGTTTAAGTTTAGTTTAAGTTTGAATTGTTTATTGATTTAATTTAAAACCAAAAATTTTATACACATTAAAAACAAAATATATACACAACATATACAATATGAACACGTCACCATTTTTCTCAGTAAATATATTAC